GGAGTCCTCACCAGTAGGAATCAGCTGAAGAACTTGATGTGCAAGCGTAACCTCCTACTCCAACTCCCGTATTGAGAAGGTCTTCTCGGCCTCATGTGCCTAACAGGAGATACATGGACTATATGTTGTTGACTCGATGGAGGGAGCCCGAAGATTATACTGAAGCTTGTCAAGCCACGAATGCTAGCAAGTGGGAGCTTGCCATGAAAGACGAGATGAAGTCTTTAATCTCAAATCGACATGGGAACTAGTCAAGTTACCTATGGGAAAGAAAGCACTTCACAACAAATGGGTGTATCGAGTGAAGGAAGACCATGATGGTTCTAAGAGATACAAAGCTCGACTGGTCGTCAAAGGATTTCAGCAGAAAGAAGGAGTCGACTACACCGAAATCTTTGCTCCAGCTTGTAAAGCTCAATACTATCGGGATCGTGTTAAGTATTGTGGCTAGTGAGGAGCTCTACCTAGAGCAATTAGATGTGAAGACCGCATTTCTTCATGGAGATTTAGATGAGGAGATCTACATGCACCAACCTGAAGGTTTTTCGAAGGAAAGAAGAACTTGGTGTGCAGATTGAAAAAGAGCTTGTATGGCCCGAAACAAGCTCCAAGACAAGTGGTATAAGAAGTTCGAAAGCTTCATGCACAAGGAGAGTTTTCGAAGTGCAACGCTGATCATCGTTGTTTCTTCAAGAGGTATAAGTCCAGTTATATCATTTTGCTACTTTATGTTGATGATATGCTAGTAGCAGGTTCGAGATATGAATGAGATCATAAACTTAAAGAAGCAGCTTGTCAAAAGAATTTGACATGAAGGACTTAGGCCCAAGCAAAGAAGATTCTTGGAATGCAAATCATGAGAGATAAGCAAAAAGGAGTTTTGCAGTTATCTCAAGCTGGAGTACATCAACCGTGTTTTGCAGAGATTCAACATGGACAATGCCAAACCAGTCAATACACCTTTGGCTTGCCATTTTCGTCTATCCAAGGATCGGCCTCCTCAAACGAAGGAAGAAGAAGAGTTAATGGCTAAGATTCCGTATGCTTCAGCCATTGGAAGTTTGATGTACGCGATGGTCCGTACGAGGCCGACATTGGCCATGCAATGGGAGTTGTAAGCGGATTCATGTCAAATCCAGGAAAAGCTCATTGGGAAGCGATCAAATGGATTCTAAGGTATCTACGAGGCACAACAGAAAAATGTCTCGTATTTTAGAAAGGGAGATCTAAAATTGCAGTGGCTACGTAGATGCAAACTTTGGAGGTGAAGTTGATCACCGAAGAAGCACCACCGGGTATGTGTTTACTCGTTGGAACTACAACTGTTAGTTGGATGTCGCGGATACGTAAGATTGTTGCTTTATCCACTACGGAGGCCGAGTATGTAGCGATGGATGAAGCCAGTAAAGAATTGATATGGCTTCAAGGATTGTTGGCGAGTTAGGATTCATTCAAGAAAGGAGTGTTTTGCACGAGTGATAGTCGAAGTGCAATACATCCGGCAAAAAATTCAGCATTTCACTCCGTAACCAAACACATCGACATACGTTATCATTTCATCGGATCTCTACTTGAGGATGAGATGCTAACATTGAAGAAAATTGTGGGAAGTAAGAACCCAGCAGATATGCTAACAAAGGTGGTGACTATTGACAAACTGAAGTTGTGCTCAACTTCAGTTAGCTTACAAGGATAACAGACAAGAGAAGACTACTATTGATCAAGGTGTGAGGACAGATTGAAATCGGTCCTCAAGTGGGAGATTGTTGGTCAAAGAAAGTGGCTGCAAAACTTTCTGCCAAAATATTTTATGCAAACATGAGGTGCACGAGGCATTTTTTTATGGTAATGCACAGTACCAATTTTTGCTATAAATTGGTCTTCTTCCTACAAGCAAATCATCCCATCCCACACAAAATACTACTTCTCTTAGAGAAGAAAGAGTGGCACCAGTGAGAGGCAGAAAAACAAGAGAGTTTTAGTTTAGCTTCTGGGTGTAATTGGGTTGTGAGTTGTGAGTGCTTTGAGAGTGTTTTGTAAACACTTGTGTATTTTCTTTTCTCCCAGAAAGAGATCTGTAGTAGTCCGGAGACGTAGGCATTATTGGCCGAACTCCGTTATCAACTTGTGTGTGCAATTATTCCGCTTTTATTTCACTTTCACAGATCTGACCATATGGGAAGATTCAGCATATTTTTCCCAACAGCAAACAAGGAGATTTTCATGATGTCGTAAACAAAAATATATTGTTATTGTCTTCTTACACCTAATGAATTTTGGGTAAAGGCATAGAAACAAGTCCCAATCCTTGGATAACTAAATGCATGCAACGGTATTAGTAAGAGCCAGCCACTTGGATATTCTACCTCCATCTTGAATGGTCCTAGGTTCACTCCTCTTGCCTCTCGTTAAGCTTGCGACATATCAAGGCATTTTCTTATTTTAGTCTCTTGATCTCCTCGACACTTGCTTTCTCAAAGGTTTTAAGATCTTTTCTTAACTCTACCAGCAATGTCACCTCATCATCATGGTTCTCTTTAGCTTACAACTTTGATGACTAAAACCTTTTCTTCTTCTTTTTATAGTTCCTTTAGTTTTGGTTGTCGCTTCAAATAATGCTTTAATTCCCCTTGATCAGATGCCTCTAAGATAAAAAAAAATGCCTACAAGAATACTTTAATCAAGTCAAGGATACACGTGATATAATAAATATGTAATTAGTGAATACCTTAAAATGTGAACTATTTATAATGTAATAAATAAATTTTTACTTTTGTACTTGAATGGATGATTCAATATCTAATTACCAATTCTATGTCCTTGTCCACATTATCTTACTTAATTAGAAAGATCATTCATTACTTAAATAGAATATGAAGGAATTCAAATTGCTTTGAAAGACAAATTCACTATATTAGCATTAATGTTTGTCACCTCAAAAATTGAGTAAGCATTATCCCCGTACATGTAGGAATCTAACCTTTTATCTCATTGCTAGAACTTGCTATATATTGAGTAAATATCATCGTACCTTCTATTATTTCCTTCATCAACATAATTTTGACATTTATATACATCTTTATACCCTAAAAAGTGACGAAGAAGTAAAAATTGAAAAAGAAAAGAAAATCATTTAATTTATAAATTTAAGTTATAAAATAAATAAAATTAAAACCTCAATTATAACAATTGACACTAATGTCTAGCTAAAATAATAAAAAAATGCTATTAATATAATATCTAACTAAAATAATAAAAAGTGCATTAATATCTAACTAAAATAAAGCATTTCATTTCTTCAATTAACATAACTATTTTTTTAATGTTATTTAACCATTAGTTTTAATATTAATTTGATCTTATTTAATATTAGATTATTTAACATACACTGGTATAAAAAAGACTTTTTATAATGATTATTTTAGATTTTTTATGCCGATTCTACAACCGATATAGATCTAGGCGACATAAAAAGTTTAACTTTCTATGTCGATTGTTAAATAATCGACATAATAAATTATGTCGATTTTTAATATAACCATCATAAAAAGTCTCGTGTTAAACTTTTTTATATAATCATATTTCTTACAAATATTTAATAAAATAGTTTCAATGCAACAATAAATTTCAAAAATTAAACACAAATACTATCTACATTCAAAAAACAATTAAACATAAAATGTAGATAATTTCACTTAAGTTAGATAAGAAATAATTGACAAAAGAAAAAATTCATAATAACAATTACAATCTAATATATATATATATATATATATATATATATATATATATATATATATATATATATATATATTAGAACACTCTATTAAACCAAATCATGAAATACAAATTAATACGGAAAAATGAAATAATGCTTCAATTTATTATCTTTATTGTAGATGAGGAAGAAACAATATTGTAGGAAGTAGTAGTGCAAGTATGAAGAAAACAAAAGTAGTTGAATGTAATAAGGAAACAATGAAACACAAAAAAAAAAAAATTTAAGTGAAGTTTTCTTAAAAAAACAGAAAATGAGAAAGACAAAAAAGATAAAAACAAATATGAAAAATTTATATTTAGACACTTTTTATGATGATTCAATTTTCAACCTTCAATTTTGAAAGTGACTCATTTAAAATTGACAAAGTCACTTTTTATATTGGTTCAAAATTGAACTATCATAATAAATACTTATTATGATCTGTTTAATTTTTAACTAATATAGAAAGTGACTCATATTTAAAAAATGTCAGTTTAAATTTGAATTGTCATAAAAAAATAAATTTTAATTACAAAATTACCACCATCCAACTTATTATGATGGGTGAACTCAAACTGTGAAAGTAAGTCATCATATAATACTATTTTAATATAATCATATAATACTATTTTATAAAAGATTTTCATTAGGTTAGAGTTCACTTATGGGATACTAAGTAATTATATAAGATTAAATGATTTTATCTTCAACTTTTTTATTTCTATTTAACATGAGACTTTAGTCCACATTTGAATTCCATCATTCCCTTTAAGTATGAATCCTTACACATTGAAACACCCCCTATAACTCACCTACCCATTTTGTACTTGATTGAATTGGTTACCAGACAAACAATTTGATACCACTATTTGATTTTTGTTAGAGGGTTACGACTTGACCAATGTTTACCTATGGGATACCTAAGAAGATATAACTTCACTTTCAACAAAAAAAAAAAAACTTAAGACAACAAATTTGTATCTTTTTCACTTATAAGATACTAGATTTGTGTGTCCAATTCTTACCTAAAGTGGAGACTCTAGTTTACACTAATTTTAACATTGTCTTATGTTGGCTATATATAATTTTTTGCCTTATGCATCCTCTTATTTCTTCTCCATATTCAAACATTGAAGATTAGACAAATGATGTCTTTTAATCGATTTTGATAATTTTATATGTTGATTACAGGGTGGTGGAAAGTGTAGGGAAGTATGTAACTGAAGTTACAAAAGGTGACATGGTTGTTCCAGTTATCCTACCAGAATGTGGGGAGTGCATAGATTGCATATCAACCAAAAGCAATCGTTGTACTGTTTTTCCTTTCAAGGTGTCTCCTTGGATGCCTCGAGATGGTACCACTAGATTCATTGACAAAAATGGAGAGGTCATATACCATTTCTTATTTATTTCAAGTTTTAGTGAGTACACCGTGGTGGACATTGCCAATATTATAAAGATTGATCCAAAAATTCCTCCTGATAGAGCATGCCTTCTTGGATGTGGTGTTTCAATAGGTAATTTTCTCTATTAATTCAAACAATGAATAAATTGTGTAGACAAGAACAAAAATTTTTAAAAAATGGTGACAAAACACTATTTTAAACTCGTTCTTATTAGTTGAAATTTATTAATACAAAAAATGATTGAGTCTCACTAATAATAGATAATATATTTGAAAAAGTTTGTTGGTAGCATTCTTTAAGCAACATTGACAAGTAGGAAATGTAATTGATAAATCAAGTGATAGTTCAAATTTTCATATCCATACCTTTAAGTGTTTTGTTTTCTAATTATGGCCACTTTACTTGGTTGTAATTGAATGTTAAATGACCATATATTACAAAATAACAACAATCATTTTATTCAATTTTATAAAATCTTGCTTCCACTTCTAGGGGTAGGTGCTGCTTGGAGAACTGCAAGTGTGGAACCAGGGTCTACAGTTGCTATTTTTGGGTTAGGATCTATTGGATTAGCAGTATGGACTCTATTGACATTGGTTTTCTTTCTTCATGAATTTGGTTATCTGGATTAAAATACTTTGTAATTCATTTGCTTGATAGGTTACAGAGGGAGCAAGACTTTGTGGAGCAACTAGGATTATAGGTGTGGACATCCACCCAAAAAAATTTGAAATTGGTAATGCACTATCTATTTAATAACATCATATCAACCATGCTCTTATTATTTATGTAGTAGAAAGAGGTGGAACAGTGCTAAGAGTATTGTCATGTATCTTTCTATCTTTCAAAAACTGAGAAATGTAGGTGATGTAGGATCACAACCATCCACATATACTTGCATAAACAAATCAACCTATCAAAATAGTTAGTTAACCAAGATGACCTTATATGTAAAAAACATTCTCTACAGTACTTTTTTTTCTCTTGTTATATTTTTATTAAAAAAAGTAATATAATTATGAATTTATAAATTAGAATGTCATCTTTAAGTTTTAAGTCTTAAATTTTGCTAATGATCAAAACATAAATATAATTACTGACTCTTGACCTTCCACATTAACAACATAAAACTGCCAAAATACTAAAACTGACATTTAAATTTATTTAACAAAACTTTCTCCTAAACTTAGATGTTTTTGTTATCCTTCATGCCAGTCACCTTGCAATTATCAAAAAGTACTATCAATAGTGGCTTCGTGAATACATTTGGAACTTGATCTCAAATTACCACATGCACTAACTTCAAATTACCTTCCTTCACATGTTCTTGGACGAAATGAAAACAAAGGTTTTCCACTAAGCTCCAATATTGTTAGCATTGACTCGGTCTCCTCCATCAAATTTTGAAAGTTTTGAAGTTTTTTTTTTATTAAAACTAGATGGCAACATGTCATCTTATATATTTTTTCATAATCTTCTTTGCATATGTATCTTGAGACATAAAAATGCCCATCTCACCTTGTTTGATTTTCAAACTAAGAAAAAACTTCATCAGACCTAGGTTAGTCATTTTGAACTCCCTTGTCATTATGTTCTAAAACTCTTGAATCATCTCACCATTATTTTCGATAAAAATAAGATCATTTATATAAGAAGCAACAAATAACACATTACTTCCACTTTTCTTTCCATGCTCAAGGTGATTGCTTTAACCCATGAATGACCTTCTTCAATCTTAGCACCTTCTTCTCTTCTTCACTTTTCATGTATTCAAGTTGTTGTTTAACGTAAACTTCTTCTTCGAGCACACAATTAAAAAATATTGACTTGACGTTCATTTGTAATATCGGTCATTTAAATTGAGCTGCTTGTGAAAAGAACAACCAAATAGTCTCCATTATGGTAACTAGAGCAAATATCTGGTCATAATTAATTCATTCTTTTGCTTATATCCCTTTGCAACAAACCGTCCCTTATACCCTCTATCTCCTCTTGAGCATTCATCCTTTTTCTTGAACACCCCTTTCACTTTAATGGTCGACTATCACTCGACAATTCCATCATCTCTGACATGTTGTGCTCTAATGTCCTTGTCCATGACAGTTTGTCACTTCTCATCTTGCACTACCTTTTCAAAACTTATATTTTAAGAATTCACCAAAATACATACGACGAGTACCTCGTTTGTTGAGTCATAAAATCTTGCAAGCTTTGCATTATAGGTTGTTGTGGTTCATCTTCATCATTAGTTATTTCAGAATTTGATGTGATTGTTGGTATAGTAAATGTCAATCTTTCATTTCCATTAATATCCTCCACGGAGTCGCTCCAATTCCACTCACTTGCTTCATTAACTCGAACATCATGACTCACCACAACTTTCTTGGTTATTGGGTGTAGTAGCTTATAACCTTTATTCTTCTCAAATTAACTAATAAAAATGTATTTCTTAATTTTGTCCTCGAACTTCGTTCTTTGCTGATCTAACACATGTGCATAGACAATACTGATAAACACTTTGAGATGAGTCACAGATGGTTTTATCCGTGTCATGCCTCATGTGGAGTTTGATCATTTAATTTTGCTTATGGACACCAATTTTGTACATAGATGGTGCATTGCACAACTTATGCCCAAAACTCCTTTGACATATTTTTACTCTTAGCATTGACTGAACCATATAAAGAATAATCTGGTTTTTCATCTCGACCACACCATTTTGTTAAGGTGAGTATGATGTTGTTAGAAATGTTCTTATTCATTCCTCCTCATAATACTTCACAAAATTTGTTGATGTATACTCACCACCTTTATTAGATCATATTTATTTGATGTGTCTATCAGTTGTCTTCTCCATCATCACTTTGAATCTTTTGAACATGTCAAATACCTCAGATTTCTCTTTCAAAAGTTTTACGTGAGAATTCATCAATGAAACAAATGAAACACCTTTTACCACTAAAGGATTTAAGAGTAATAGGTCCACAAAAGTTGGTTTGAATCAACTCGACATGTTCCTTTACATGATATTCAACCTTCTTTTGTAACAAGGTTTTTGCATGATACTCGAGTACACATTCTTCACAAATTTTCCCTTGTAATCCATGTTCGGTAGCCCATACACCATGTTCTTCTTTGCCAACTCGTTTAGACTACTATAATGTAAGTGACCAAATAAGAGATGCCACATTATTGCCCTATCTTCTACATTGAGTGTCAAACATTTTTCTTGAGCACCTCTCAAATTCAACTTATACATCCGATTTCTTCTCATTTTAACTCAAGCGATCAAACACCATGCTTCTTCAAGTGTAGTATTTGGTCTTTCATAAGTACCGAATAACCTTTTTCCATAAGTTGCCTCATACTCAAAATATTATTCTTGAGATCTGGTACATAATAAACACCTTGGATTGACCCAACCAGGACATCCTTTTTTAAATAGCAAACTATACCTGAGTCGTAGACTTCAACCTTCGACACATTTCTAAATGACACATCTGATTTTAACCTTTTTTTAATTTATTGAATAGGTGGTTGTGCCTGCACTTGTGATTCCTTGCACCCTGTGTCAAGATACCGTACAAAGTTGTGATCGAAACTCGTGTACCCTTCTGAGTTGTTGTCAATACCCATGTATCCTTCATTGTGCGTCATTAGTAGTAATACTTCTTTAGTTTCCACATCTTTTGTGAATAAATTGGTCATCTCTTCCAAATTTTTCTTGGCTCGACATTCTTTAGCAAAATTTCCTATCTTACCTCAATTGTAACACTTATCAAAGTTATAATCTTTCGCATAGTGATCATATTTGTCACACATGTAGTACTCAACATTGGAATAACTCAAAAACCAACCCCTATCCAACATTTGTATCCTCTTCTATGCCAGTTTTACTGGATTGATTGCTCTTTCTCCTCATATTATCCTTCTTGGCCACGACCTCTACCATTGCAACAATTTCCCTGACCTCCACGATCTTTTCGTCTTTAATTGACAACTTGATTTGAAGTGCTTTATCAAGTATCTTGTCCTTCTTCTTTCGTTGCTTGTGTACCTCAAGAGAACCGACTAACTCATCTACTTTGAGCATTGCAAGGTCCTTTAACTCTTCTATCACATATATGATATTCTTGAAGTTATTGGTCAATTACCACAAAATTTTCTTCACAACTTGGGTATTAGTTAACACTTCTTTGCTTAGTTTGAGTTACCATGATTTTAATACATGTGAAGTACTTGGAAATTTTTTCTTACTTTTTCATCTCCATACTTTTCAACTCGCCACGAAGTGTTTGAAGGCAAATTTGTTTAACTCAATTGGATCCTTTGTATACTTTTGTCAAAATATTTCACCCTTCCTTTGAAGTTGAAGCGCTCGTTATCTTCTCAAAGCTAAAATCATCAATAGCTCAATACAACATGTACAAAGCTGCCTTAATGTTTAATCATGTCTCTTTCAACACTTTATTTTGGGTCGTCGAGTATCTCATGCTAGTTTTCCATTCTTCAAAACTATTTTGAACCACCTTGTCTTCGTTAGTTGGGACAGGGACACATTGTTAGTTACACTCATCATCATAGTCAAGCTCAAATACCAATTTATAAAAGTTTTCTTCAGAATACTTTATTTCTCTTGTTATATTCTCATCAAACAATATAATTATGAATTTATAGATTGGAATTTGATCTTTGAATTCCAAGCCTTAAATTTTGTCTATGGTCAAAATAATAAACATAACTAGTGATTCTTGATCTTTCACATTAATAACAAAAAACATTCTCAAAATACTAAAATTGACATTAACACTATTTAATTAATATAATGTTAAATTTTATCTTATAAGCACGATTATAACCAAAATTGTCATATATATAACTATTACGAGAAAGACAATGTGATAATTTTAAGTATTTGGAGGGTGACTTGTATTATTAGACAACTTTATTATCCCAATTGGTTTTAACATTAAATATAACCAAGGACAAACATAAATTTGTGAAAATGGAATGACTCATCAAATTCCAATTTCAATTTCTATCATATGTGTTTTTATGATTTATTTTCATATTATTTATGTGTGAATTTTGAATTTATAGATTTGTTCTTTTTAAATTAGGAAAAAGATTTGGTGTGACAGACTTTATCCATGCCAAAGAATGTGGGGACAAATCAGTGAGTCGGTATAGCCTCTTGAAGACATCAATCTCAATTTTTTTTGTTGAAATTTCATTCTCTTTGCATCAGATGAAATGAAAAGATTAAAAGAATTTACTAAACATTGCACTTTATATATATATATATATATATATATATATATGTATATATTCAATGCTCTTACTATTTGTCTGCCATTGTAATTAAATGTGGTTGGTAAGCAGATTATCATAGAGATAACTGGTGGGGGAGCATATTATTGCTTTGAATGTGTTGGTATGACATCGATGGTGCATGAAGCATATGCTGCTTGCAGAAAGGTACATTACATGTTATTATGTCAAGAGTTCCTAATAATCATATTTTGGCACACAATCAAATTATGAAAATCTAAAACTAAATTATTATTTTGACCAATCACCACTTTATAGTCATTTATTGATTTTGATCCAACTAAACTAAAATTCCATGTACTTATTGAAAAGTAATATTTGGTTAAAAGAAACAGGCTTAATTAAAATTGCCAATAATATGACCTCCACAAATCAACACTTCATGAAAGCATGAGTTGCAAGTTGATGATTTCCCTACAGGGTTGGGGAAAAACAATTGTTTTAGGAGTGGACAAGCCACAAGCCAAGATAACATTGAATTCTAATGAGGTCCTTCATGATGGGAAGAGCCTCATGGGATCCTTGTTTGGAGGTCTCAAACCCAAGTCTCATGTACCTATTCTCCTTAAACGTTACATGGACAAGGTAAAGTACTCAATTGCTTTTATTTTCATTTTTAAACAATGTTGTTTGTCCTAATCAATATTAACATAATGTACTAGACTAGCATATATAATTATGTAAAATTAGTAATGACAAAATGATGAAATATCATATCTTTTGGGACATTTGTAGTCTATTAACTTTTGCCCCATATATTGATAGGAATTGCACTTAGAAGAATTTGTCACTCATGAGGTGGAGTTTAAGGACATCAACAAAGCTTTTGATTTATTGAGTAAAGGAGAGTGTCTTCGATGTGTGATTTGGATGGATAAATGAGTACATTGTTAAGTATTCCTAGTCCTTGAATAATGATATGCAACATGAAACATGTATTCCAAGCTCTTTTGTATTTGATAACTCACATTCAATAAAACAAAGGTGTTATCCTATTGGACTGCAAATGAACTTGATGCACCAGTAAAGTAATTAATAGGGGAGATGATGGTGATCCTTGATGCTCCAAAGTGTCTTAGTCTGTACACTCCAGAAACAACATCATTTGGTATTTCCCATTCTATGGTAGCTAACCCATGCAAGGAACTATTATCTAGTTTCCACTTGAAAAATAGGCTTAAATCATCATCATCATATGAAGTAACCCATCTTTCCCCATTCAGCCTCTCAACTGAAGCAAATGTGCCTTCTGTTAGAAGATCATATCTTGGATTAGCACTCCAAAATGTAGCACTTGGTGTATCTCCCTTCCTAAAATAACCTTTTTTTGGAAAGGCTATGTCTTCCTTTATGTCACCAAATTTGATTCCTTCTGGAGGTGAGTCTCCAAAGGGACCAACTAAGAGACTTATTTGTGCAGATGAGAGATCTGGTGGAGAAGGACCATTTATAGTGATACCTTGTCCCTTAGCCATTGCTTGTGCTAGTTTCTTGAATTCTTGGATGTATGCAGATAATGTGTGAGGACCATACAATGTTGAAGCAGCCTGAAAATTATATTATTACCTATTAGCAATAATTTAGGTATATTTTATCCCAAAGATAAAGCCTAAAAGCTATGGTAGCATGTGTTGCTTGCTTATGCTTAATAATGGCATAATGTTAGGGTAATAAAGAACAAGTGTTTGTTTGTCAATGCTTAATTTTGAGAATAATTTATATTTTTTCCAAAAACTCTTTCAATTATTTCTTAAAAACAAGCTGAAACAAACAAATTATATTAAATTATCTTATATTTGACTAAACATATATTAAATAGGCTTGATTTAAGACAAATATTATTCCTTAACATCAATTGCTTCTATCCAATATAAATATCTAATAAGTTTGTAGTAACTTGATGAATTGGTTATGCACTTAAATTCATCATACCTCATACCGTTGGTCCTGATATTCTTCAAAAGTTGCAATATATTGTGAGTAAGTATTTGTAAGTCCTGCTATAACCACATGTGTTTCGTTATTGAATTCTCCATTGCTTCTAGATATTAATGTCTCTTTCATTGCCTCCCTTAGCCTTCTACCAGCCATTGTTGTAAACTCTGTACTACTCAAGAATTAGAGCATATGTTTGTGTTTCATTTTGTACTTAACAATTATGCAAATAATTTTGAAGCCTTTATTCATATAAAACCAAAAAACCTTGTTTTGATTAATTTTTCAATAAATACTCACGAGGAAAAAGTACAAGAAAAAATGAAACAAGTTTTTCCAATAAACTACAACTAACTTACTACCAAATAAGTTTAAATAGAATTTTGTAAGAGTTTCTCGGTATTTGTTTAATGCAATTGAAACCCAACTTTTGTTTTCTATTCAATTGAAACCTTCACAATGGAAAGAAACAAACCTCCTGGTACAGTAAGAATGATCAACTTTCCCAATCTTAGAATTTGAATTGGAAGAATTGCTGGCTGTACCAACACCCAAAATGTTCTTGATGAGTATTTCCATGTGCAAATTGTTACCTTTATTCACAAAAATAGTTGACAAGTACATAACCGTAGTCTTACCGCCCAAGGATATGGATCAAACATTTCACCAGTGCTCAACAAAATTGGCTTTGGGTTTTGACAGTCCACTTGATATTGGCTTGGTTCTTTTAAGAAATCCCTCACATTCTTCCAAAATGGACTAATCTGAAGAAATTAATCTTATTTAATAACACATAGGCAAATAGATAATCAAGAATATGATGCAAACAATCTCAAGAAAATGTTATTGAAATTTCATCTAAGTTAGTTAATTAAGCATGCATGAGGATGTTTCTGAGTGTTAAATCTACTTAGCAAGTGAGTTAACATTTGCTTCTTCCTAAAGCCTTTACACACATAATAACAACCACAACAATATAATTAAATGTTTTACTTTAATATATTTTAAAAATATGTAATATCAACTTTCATATATTTTAAAAATATGTAATATCAATAGATTTATACTAAAAAACTTTTAGAAAACCTTTTTATTAATATAAGTTATGAATAAAAATTTTCATATAATAGTGAATTTTTAAAGTCATTTAATTTTGTAAGAATTATTTTTACTTTACTATTCTCAACCTTTTACATACACATGAGATGTTATCCTATATGTCTCTTGTGTGAAAAAATAACCAAGGAAAAATATACTTTTATTGAAAAGCAAGAGGAATAGATTCGTCATAAGATTACACAAGATATAAAGTTATTTTTATTCATATTATCACTTGAAAGTTCTTAATAGTTTTACGTTTTTCCTCTACGACTCAACACTTAGCATATTGCACCTATTTAAGCGCAAAATTTTTTTCTTTCTTTTCTCCTTCTATCCGACTTCTATAAAAGCCTATATCACTTCTTTATCAAAAACACATATTCACCCATTTCTCTTCATCCTTCTCCATCTCTCATTGTATTTCATGTTGATCTTTTTTTTTTTTTTCTGTGTATTTTTTTCTCATGTACCACATACATACTCATGGTTTCTTCACCATCCTCATCTTCCCAAAATGTTATTTATTTTGATATGGTATCAGAGCTCTTCTTTTAAAGAACTCTGTTATGGACTCGGAACCGCTTCTAGTTTCTTTCTTAACCAATATGGAAGAAGGAATGCATCAACCTCCTCCTAACAATTTCTTATATATCCACCTTAGCAAAAACTCAGCAATGAGCCTCATTTCTCATGTCCTTGACACTGATAACTATCATTCAGCACATCTTTGCTTACTGCATTGAGTGCAAGGAATAAATTTGAATTTTTGGATGGTACTACCTCATAACCAATGAAAGATGATCATTCATATTTGACACAGTGGCATTGCAACAATATGGTAGTCTCCTAGATTGTGCACAACATATCTTTACCCATACGTCAAAACATATTATGGATGAATAAAGCTGAGAAAATTTGGAACGATTTAAAGTCTCGATATTTCCAAGGTAACCTGCTTTACATATCAGAGATTCAATTAAATGTGTCCTCTCTCAAACTAGGCAATCTTTCTATCACTAAGTTCTTTACCAAACTTAGAGTCATATAGGATGAACTTGATAACTTCAGATTGAATCCCACCTCTGTGTGTTCAATCAAATGTTCATGCATAACTCTTCCAACCATATCACAACACAAAAGGGAAGACCAAACTATGCAATTCTTTAGATGGTTGAATGAACAATACAATAAAACTCATGGATCTGATCCCTCCTCTGTTAAAAATACTTCCCTACTTAATTTAACAAAAGAGATAAATTCTTGAAAGAAATACGACAAATCTTGATCTTAAGATCAATGTTGTGGTCTCCAATAACTCAATCATATGTAAACATTGCGAGTGCTCAAGACACGTAGATGTTGTGTGTTACAAGAAGCATGATTTTCCTAATAGCTAAGATAAGAAGTATGGCAGAAACAAAAAAACTTGCATAGAAGAAGTGGTCATACTATAGATACATGCTATAAGAAGCATGGGTTCCCTCTTGGTCATAGAGTGCAAAATGAAAAGAATAACACAATCAACAACTTAAACACTATTAGAGGAGACTACAATAATTAAGGTTGGAACAACGTCTAAAAAAATTGAGATATCATTATATCAACAACAATATCAAGCTCTCATAATATTAATACAATAACCAAACATTGAGAAGGATTCAAGCTCATCATAGGTTAATTGTATGGGTTCCTTAAATCTTATAATCTTACAGAATACAACTCCTAAGGGTAAGGATAAAGGTAACTATTTCTCAACTATCAATATGGTTAAAGGCATATAACACAAAATATTAGATTATAGACTTTAGTACTATGAATCATGTGTCTTCTTCTTTGTCAAATTTTCTTTCTATGAATTTGGTAACCCTACTATTATAAATTTGCCTAATGGAAACCACGTTTATGCTACTCACAAAGGCATTGTAAAAATTAGTGAATCATACCTTACAAACATATTGCTTATACCTATATTCTTATATAAGATAGTTTCCATTTCTAAACTTATGTGCAATTGCAATTATAAACTAGTTTTCTGTCAAAATTCATGTATTATATAGGATGTCAAGACCATCGTGAAGACTGGTTCAATTGAAGTAGATGATGGATTGTATACTCTTAACAATCATACTAGACAATCATGTTGTATAAATACTATTGTCAGTTCAAATCATGTAACTTAGGACATTGATCTTTGGCATGCTTCATTGGGACATTTATCTCCTGAAAAGCTTGATATCATGAAAGAATAATTCCTTTACATATATAGTAAAAAAAAAATTATTTGCAATACTTGTCATATTTCCAAACCGAAGAAACTTCCTTTCCCTACTAGTCACTCTTATGCCGATGAATCATTCAACTTCATTGATGTAGACATACAGGGACCATATTCTAGTATTTCTATGCAAGGGCATGAGTACTTTCTTACTATTGTAAATGATCACAATAGATTCACATGGATATTTCTTATGAATCTCAAATTAGAAACTCATAACCATATCATGAACTTTATTGCATATGTTGAAAATCATTCTTAGAAAACCACTATATGTATTTGATATGGCAATAGGGTTGAGTTTGATATGGATGATTACTTCAAATTCAAAGACACTACACATCAAACCACCTACATTGAGACACCCAAGCAAAATGGAATTGCTAAAAGGAATCATCAACACTTCCTTAATGTCACATGAACTCTACTCTTCTAGTCCAAGCTTCCATGTTACACAATAATTTTGGTGTTATGTTGTTATACACACCACCTATATGATAAATTATATTCTCACTTCTTATCTTGGTAACATTTCTCCATTTGAAAATTTATAAAATAAAGCTTGTGATATCAATGATCTTAAAGTGTTTGGATGTCTATATTATGTTAGTACTATTATTTCTCATAGAAAAAAAAACTTGATCCTAGAGCTAATCTTGACAAATTTCTAGGATTCAAGAATAATGTGAAAGGATATTTGGTCTTTGACCTTGCCACACACAAGATTATCGTCTCAAGAAATGTAGTATTTTTTGAAAAAAAATTTTCTTAACCTAGTCAATCTACAAACAATGACATCGTAGACACTTTGTTACCACTTTACACAAGTTTTGGCAAAAAGTTTTATGTAGATGATTATTATTATTATTCTTAACCCACTACTGGCGCATAATGCACAAATAATGATGTCATCATTCCCAGTACACATTTAAGAGAACCACACGAGTTAGACAATCACTTACACACATGAAAGACTATCATGTTGCTCTAAATATTGCAAAATCTTCGAAGCCCTTAGGTAACATATATCTTATTGACATATTTGTGTCACAACAGATTATCCTCCTCCTTTAAACAAGTTATATCCAACATTGATGACAATAAGCAACCAAGGTCTTATAAAGAAGCTCGTAAGCATTTGCATTAAAGAAATTAATGGAAGAGGGAATTTGTGCCCTTGAAAGCAATAACACATGGACTATCACCTCACTACCTCCAAGCAAGACTATTATAGGTTGTAAATGGGTTTATAAGATTAAACACAAGGTTGATGGGATAATATATAGGTATAAAGCCAAACTTTTAACTAAAGGTCATTCACAGCTTGAAGGCCTTGATTTCCTATATATGTTTTCTTCTGTTTCTAGGCTAACAATGGTGAGAACAATTCTATCAATGGCTACCATAAAAGGTTGGCATTTGAAGCAATTAGATGTTAACAATATTTTCTTGCATACTAAGTAACATGAAGATGTCTATATGAGTATTCCCCTCAGTATGGTAGGTGTTTCTATTGACAAAGTTTGTAAATTGCATTGTCTATGGCAAGCAAGTAGGAAATAGTATGAAAGACTCTCTGGTTTCTTTCTTTCACATGGTTGCACTCACTCAAACGCAAATCACTCCTTATTTCTAAGCAATGCAATTAAAAACAAAAATGTGATTTTGGTTTATATGGGCGGCATCATTATTATTGAGGAAGGTACTGTAGAGATTAATAGAGTGACCAATCCTTAACAAAACTTTTAAGATAAATAATCTAGGTAACTTGACATACTTTCTACAACTAGAAGTAACAAGGAATAATAGGTATTCATCTAAGTCAGTGAAGATATACTTTAAATATCCTTGAAGATGTTGGATTGACATGTTATGCTCCTATTGCCACACCTATGGATCACTTTACCATGTTCTACTCCACTGATGGTAAGGCGTTAGTTTATCCCTCTTCTTATAGAAGACTCATAATACTCATCAGAAAGCTTATTTACCTCACCAACATCAAGTCATATATAACTTAAGTTGTGCAATGTCTTAACCAATTTGTATCTGCTATTATAATTGTCCATCATCAAGGAGCTCTAAGAATCCTTCTTTACCTCAAAAAAACTCCCAAGAAATGAATATTCCTTGCTGCCAATAGTGATGTTCAACTTAAAGGATATAACGATTCAAACTGAGCTAGTTGTATTGATACTCAAAAGTCCACTACTAGATACATAACCTATCTTGATAATTCACCTATATCATGGAAATCCAAGAAGAAACCTAATGTTTCGAGAAGTTCTACTAAGGCTTAATAGTGGGCCTTGGCCTCTACGGTTTGTGAGTTATAATAACTCACTTATCTCCTCTAGGATTTAATGATAGACTACATACATTCTACGTTATTGTATTGTGATAATCAATTTGCTATCCAAATTGTTTCTAATCAAGTATTGCATGAAAGAACGAAACATATATAGATAAATTGTCGTATTGTTCATGAGAAAGTCAACCATAGATTAGAAAAGCTCCTTTCAATTTTCACCAACATGCAAGTTGCAAATATATTGACAAAAAGCCTTGCCTCATCAACGTTCAATTATTTTTATTTCAAGTTGGGAATGCTTGACATCTACTCCTAACTTGAGGGGTTCTTAACTCTATCTTTTCTTTTTTTTATCCAAACTCTATAAAATCTTGTATCACTTCTGATGGGGACATGACCATGAGCAAGGGCAAGGATCCACTTGAAGGACTTGGAGTACCTATGACAAAGGCTAGAGCAAGGGAAGCAAAAGAATCTCTTCAACAACTGTTGTCCATATTATTTGAATACAAGCCCACATTTCAAGGAGAAAATATCAAAGTTGTGAATTGCATCATGGCCCAAATGGAGGAGGACTAATGCATCACTTTGTTTAAGTCTTTAAGTTTGTTTAAATAATGGCCTAATCCTTTGTAAAATTCGCTGACCAAATCATGTTTTGAGTTAATTAATTAATGGACTTTAGTTTAGTTTTGTTTCAAGTTGTAATAAGGGTCCAATTGGAACTTAGGCATGAGCCTTTGGGAGACCAAGAGAGAGCATACCTGATTGACTTTTGGTTGTCACAAGTTCAGTTACAATCAGTCATTAAGGTTAATGGATCATTATTAGCATTTATTTGCCTCCATTAAGTAGTTTTCAACTACTAGGTTAATGGATCATTATTAGTATTTATTTTCTTCCATTAAGTAGTTTTCAACTACTAGGTTAATGGATCATTATTAGTATTTATTTTCTTCCATTAAGTAGTTTTCAATTCATAGATTAATGGATCATTATTAACATTTATTTTTCTTTATTGAATCTTTGTAACTTTGATGACAAAACATTTATATAAGCTGAACCATTTTTATCAAAAATACAAATTAAATTTTATTCAGAAATATTAGAGTTTACCTCTTTTATCTTAGTGAGAGTGATTCTCCTATGTTCTTGAGTGATTCAAGAACTCTTGGCTATATCAAAGGATTTTCACATCCTTTGTAGTTGTCTCCCTTGGGAAGAGTGATTATTTCCTTTGACCTTTCACATTCACCTCTTGTCCTTTCCTCACCAGAACCTAGAAAACTAAATTTTGCCCAGATTTATTTCGTCGTCATAACTTATGTTCTACTCATCCAAATTGAGTGTTTTTTTAGCTTAAATTGAAATTCTAAACGAGAACTTTCACCTCATTTTTGGATCACATCAGTCGGAGTTTTATAGCTTGAGATATCAACGTTTCTAAAATTTTTCCCAAACCTTAAAACTTTCACCACTTTCTAATTCATCTTCTCATTAATTTCCTAAATTTTCTATAAGGTTCTAACCCTAAAGATCTTAAGTCAACCTTTATGCAAATGAGGTTCACGTATTTCTTTTCATTGTTCTCTTTCTCGTTGTATGTCATCTTGTTGCCATTCAGATATAATTTTTCTCACATATGGCATTACATGCATACTCATATTTCTTCACCTCATTTTCCATAAACATTCTTTATTTTGATAAAAAATGTAATGTAACTTTAAAGACTTGCATAATTTTGTGTATTTATCTATTCATACAATAATATGAAATGATTTATTTGATTTTCTTGTTCTAACCTTAAAAAAAATTCATTTGGTGTGTCTCAAGTTTATTTTAATTACCTATTTGAATTCATAGTCATATAAAATTAAAGAAAGAAACTATTTCATTCCTATTTTACCCTTTCGCTTACTTATCGATACAGGAATGATCATTGGATTGAAATATGGGCTATTTGTTTTTTTTTGTTTCATATGTTTCACTTACACATTCATTAATCCTTGGGAAGTACTTACATGTTAAAAAAATAGATAGATAGTTACATAAAATAAATATTCATTTACTTTAAGAATAAGAGTTAGAAATTTTACTTTAACAACCATAGTGAGAAATTTATTTTGTATTTTCACAGCTTTTTTTTCTTTATAATTTAGTAAGTTAAGATGATAAATATTTTAGATTATTAGATTAAAAAATATATAATGATGAATAAGTAAATTTCTGACTCTATTAATAAAATGAATAAAAATTTTCTCATTATATCAAAATAAATAGTACCTTTGTATCACCTTGTTGAAACCCAAAAGCACCTGGCCCATCTGTAGTGCCAGCTGCAAAACCAGGACCAAGTGCTGCTGGGCAAGTTTTAACCACCTTGTTGCTATCCAATTCAACCTGAATGTTTGTGAAGTTCAGGTACACATGGAGGTACTCAATCTTCCCTACCAGTTCATTTGAAGCCGACTGAAACAGTTCCATAGCACTTTTAAATTGCCTTTCACCTATGATCTTTGTACTTAATATTTCATTCGGGTACCTGCTCCATGTAAAATTATAAGCACATAATTTTCTACAAGTAGAGGAACAATAAGAAACCTTGTACTCAAGGGATACATACAATAATACAACACAAACATCTACATATAACAAAATTTGAAAATTATTAGAAGAACGGTTGATCATGCCAATACATAAGAGTCTACATACTCAACCTTATTGAATATGATTGGATCAGAGACATTTCTGTTTAAAAGTTTGTGTTTTCATGAAAACAAGCATTTTTAGATTTCATGCTTGATTAGAGAGACTCATTACCCGGGTCCCCTGCCTACACAAAGTTGGTCATTGCCATTGCATGAAGAATGGTTGAAGTCACAAGGCTTTCCAGTGTCGATGCAAAAGGCTCCAAGAACATTTGGTGACACATCTCCAACATTTGATTGGCAAAATGCTCCAACAAATAAGGATCCATCAGTCTTCCTCACCTTTGATGCTTGACTTGCTTGTTTGTTACAGTCCTTTCCTCCTGTCGCCTTAATTGATTGTGCTTTCTTCACTAGTTGCCTAATATCTACATGATCCATCATTACTCATTATTATAATCTTTGTCACTCTAAAACAAGTATCAAATCAAGAGAAAATGTTATAAATCAACACATAGTAATCATTCTCAAACCTATGTTGTGAAGTTTTAAGATAATCACATATTCTCCATAACTCTTATTACTATATTTTTATTTAAAATTACCTTTTATGAAAACTATTTTCACATTATAATTTTTATCATTTCTATATTTTACAAAATTATAAATCTTTATCTCAAATTTTTTTCATCAAATTTATATCTAGAATCCGATGAGTCCCTAGTTGCCCTGGAAAAAGGAGAGATCATCCCTAGGAAGATCACTAAGAATATGACTAGAAAGGAGATCTCCTTCTCACCGTCATTTTGATTTTTTTTTTTTGGTGGAAAATAAGGTTTGGACGTACAAGATGATTGTATGAGTTGTTCAAAGGTGTAAGACACTCATTTTTTATATCCTATACCTCTATTTGGAGAGAAAGAAGCTCAGATTGTAGGTTTGGTAGGTTTGGGACAACCCAAAGAGAAACACACTTTTTTTTTTCATTTTTTTCACATCCTTAGAGGCATTTTTGGTGGGTTAGGATGAATTTAACATATTTGGGTCATGGGGCTATTAGTCTTTAGGTTTAGGTTAAGTTTATGTCTCATTTTGTAAGTTCATTTAGGTCCTTCCCGAAAAACCTATAAATAGAAGACTTCCCTTCATGTAATTAGGTTGATGATTTATGACAAGTGTGTGGAGATTTTTAGAATATCTCATCTCTTTGAGTGTCTTATCTTGAACTTTGGTTCAAGTGACAATAACCAACACTTATTTAGGGTGACTCATCCCTTAGTGGTGTGTCAATAGGGATGGCAAAATGGGTCAGACTTGCCAGTCCGCTATAATATGACGGGGCGGGTTGATATTTTTAGTCCGTTAGCCCCTTTGGCCTGCCCCGCTAAGCCTGTCAACCCATCGAACCAACCCGCGGGACGGGCGGGCGAACCCACGACCCGCCTAATTAATAAAAAAATAATTTTTTTATTATAATAAAATTAATTATAAAGATAATATATAAAGTTAAAAATTTTAAAAAGATAATTAAAAAAGTTTTACTCTCACAGAAAATATTCTCCTTACTGAAACACAACATTCACTCTCCTGTTCTCCTTATTCTCCTAAGCACTCGATTATTTTTATCTTTATGACTTGAATTAAAAGTGTAAAAATTAGTAAAACATGAATAATGTGAAGTGTTATCAAATAAAAAAGATATAGGTATTTAAATTTTTCAATATAAAAAATATAAATTTTATAAGTTTTAACGTTATATATATATATATATATATATATATATATATATATATATTATATTTGTTATTATTTATTATTATGTAAATTTTATTATTGTTCTAAATTATAATTTTTAAAACAATGTATTGATTTATATTATTAAATTAAAATAATATATATATATATATATATTGAATTATTGACAAACAAATAATAATTTTATTATTAAATTTATTGAAATTTTTTATTTTAAAAAATAAATTATTTTTTTCTAAATTATGGCGAGTCGACTCGCCAACCCACCCCTTGGTGGGGCGGGCCAAGGTCTACAGCCGTCATGACTATTACGGACTAGCTCGCGCTCGCCCCTCTCCGTTTTTTATGAGCCAAAGACGGGCGGGTCAAAATGGGACTGGACTAACCCGTTTTGCCATCCCTACGTGTCAACACTCCACCACCATACTTATTTTCTATTCATCTTATAAAAAACTAAAAAAAATCATAACTAATAAAAGAATTTTAATTTTCTGTTTTCCAAGAATTTTACACCACATAATTTATTAACATGAATTTATTAAAATAGTTTTCTAATTTTATTATTGTTGAAAGTCCCACATCGCCTACCTCATATCATTTGATATGGTTTAAATACATGTTAGGTTACACTACATATTACCAATTGGTTTTATGTTAGAACCTTAACATGGTATCAGAGTCAAAGCCTAACATCTTTCCGGTTATTGTCATGGGCCAAAAAGTTGCCCTTTAATTGGGTCAAAAGTACCCTTTGCCTGGTCCGTAGAGCTTCGTTGGAGGAGGTGTGTTGAAAGTCCCACATCGCATATCTCATATCATTTGGTATGGTTTAAATACATGTTAGACTACTCCACATATTGCCAATTGGTTTTATGTTGGAACCTTAACAATTATAATATTTTATATTTGATATCTTTTCTCAATTAAAATAGTTTTTAAATTAGAATTATTAAATATATTTTTTTCTTTTTTACTAAAAAAAACAGTTTTAAAATTGAATTCTATATCATAAAATTAATTTTTTTTTCATATTAGTATTATATGTTATATTTGATAAATAATATATAACTTAGATGTAAGTGAAGAAAATTGATATGACTATTTAATTGTAGGTGAAGTAAATACATACTAAGAAGAATAAATAGGTAAGGACAAAAATAAAAGTATAAACAGCTTAAGCCAGATTGAAAATAAAGGAGGCAAGAACATTTTGTTAAAGAAAAAAAAACCCTTAAAAATTTATGTATATAATTTTAAAAATGAAAGTAGTGTTAATAAGATTTGCATTTTTTTTTATTGAAAGCTTATACTTACATTCCTTACACTTTATTTTCATTATTTTAAAAATAGTTATGAAAGGAAAACAGTCAATTTATCCATCATTATTAAGTAAATTAATCTGATTTGTTATAAAAAAAATCAAAATTAATAATAAATCATCCCATCAATATTTATCACATTAAACTTAATCCAACTAAAGCTTTTAAAAAATATATGTCAATTTTGTTTTACAAAAACTAATTTAATTTTTTTTCCAATTTCTTAAAATCATTTTTAAAAACATTATTTTATGGATGAATAGGATATCATCAAAATAGTGTTAATGGATAGATTATATCATGTTTTTTATTAAATAAATCAGATTTAATTAATTACTTTAGGAATCAAAATGAATTATTGATTTGTCACCCTAATTTTAATTATTGCACTTTTTTTACTTAATATATACAATTGACACAAAAACTAGCTAAAGTATTACTTTATTTTATTATTATTATTATTATTATATGATTTAGTTAATTTTTTATTTATTAGAGAGTATTGAGAATTTGATTTTGAATATTTAAATTTGATGATACGAAGAAATTGATTAATTTACAAGTGAGAAAGATGTTATGATTTGAAGATTTGGATTAAAATAATTGTCATATTCTATTATAGTAAGTGTGGGATATAACCTGGCGAGAAGTCTGGTTAATTTGATATGGAGTGTTGACATGAAGAGAGGTTAACAAAATTTGAATATACCTGGTAGTGTGGAGTTGGTGTTGGAAGATGTGTTTTGGGAGGCAAACCAATCTTCAAAAAGTCTAGCAGCAACACCCTTGTTATCTCCACTGATAAGCTTGTTTGCATTGCTCATGGAGGTTCCATGTGTGGCAAACCAGTTGAATGCTCCTACACTCTTACCACTTGCTCCATCCACAAACCTCAAAAGGGTCATTTGTGTGTCAACATTGGAGGGATATCTTGCCCTCTCCTCTGCAGGGTTTTGTAAATATGCACTTGGACTCCTGTTTATGCCTGCATTCTTCACATCTCCTGGGCAACAGAACCAGTATGTTAAGATCTTGAGTTGATTAATAAGGCATGGAGACATGTGTTACCTATGTTCATAAAAATGGAACCAGGCTTAAGATTGTTGTGAGCTTGAATAATGGTTTGTTCAATTGCATCTGCAATCACATCAAAGGATTCTTTCACAAAACCCAGAGAAGTCACAGAATAAACCAAATATTGCAGGTAACCGCCAGGGCCAGCATGTGTATGAGTCCCACTTATTGCTACATTTTCTTCATTATACAATTTTCCAAACCTAAATAAAGTTAACCATGAAATAAAAACCCGTTATTTCTTTTTGTTAAACAATAAAAAATATTTTTTTAATTACAATAATAAATAAGAAACATGTATAATTATTTCTTAAAATTTTCAATTAATTTATGATTTAAGTCTCTTAAATTTAATGATTATATATATATATATATATATTTATATATATATATATATATATATATATATATATATATATATATATTTAAATTTTGTCACTATAATTTATTTTTCACTTTATATATTTATTTAATATTGATTAATAATATATTATTTAATCTTAAAATCAATCATAAATTTTCACTTTTATTATTTATTTAATATTTATTAATAATATATTTTTTAATCTAAAAATCAATCATAAATTTATATCCAAGCATATAATAATAGAAAGGGGTCACCATTTCATTATTATTTTAAAATGTCATATAAATATTTAAAGATGGTTCCAAGGGGTAGGGAGGGTCATGCCCCAAACCCAAACTAATTTCTTTATATTATATTATATTATATATATATATATATATATATATATATATATATATATATATATATTAAAAAATTAAATAAATTATTTTATATTATTTTTTCTTTTAATTTTTATTTATAATAGATATTATTTTTTTACATTATTTCACACATACATATTCTTTTATTTTTAGATATATTTTTTTCATTTTCTCACTCCAACTTTCTTGTCATATACTTATCTTCTCTTTTCACATCTCTATCTTGTACGACTGATTAACTCTCATGTGATTTCTCTTTCACTGTTTCACTTTACAACATATATAATTTTTTTCCTATAACATGAAAATTATATTTTTTAATTTTTAATTTGTTTTTATTTTTTATTTTTTTTGTCTTCTATTTAAGAGGCAGAAGGCAAAATGTTAAAAAATATAAAAGAGATATATCTCACACTAATTTTTTTAAAATATAAAATAAGTAAAGTTATTTTCTTTATTATTTGTATTTATTATTATAATAATTAGTGTAGTAAAAAAATATGAAATATATATATATATATATATATATATATATTATTTATTATAGTTAGTTATTTTAATGTTTTATCATTCTCTATTTTTATATTAAAATATAAAAAAAGAAATTAATTTTTAAAGATATCTAATAATAAAAGTATAAACTCATTTAAAAAAATAGATTAGATTTATTTTCTAAAAATTAAAATTTAATCAATAATATTAAATATGTAATATGTTTATTTTTATATAATAAATAATTTTTACATGCCGCTTTCCGCCTCTAATAATATTGAAAGAGAGGTACAGTGAAAAAAATCCTATCTAGGCTAGAGATTATGTTTTAATTTTATTGTTGCTCAAAAATTAAGTTGGTAAGTAAAATGATCGAAACAATATAAATAAATGGTCAAACTTTAAATTCTAAAAATATTTTAGCATTTAGAAAGGATTAATATAAATAGTATTTTATAAAATGTAAATTGATGAAAGCATAACCTCTAATTATAATTATTTTATTTTTATTTATTTTAAAATTGATTGGATTTAAAATCTTACATGATGTTAGTGTATAATATGAAGAATACTGAAAGTAAAAAAATGTATTTAAAATAATTAATCTTTACATAAAAAAGCATAAGAGTTCACAAACTAAACTATAATCAACGAAAATATATTTTTTTATCCAGAATATATAAAATTATAATATAAATATGAACATTTATGTCATTTTAAATTCATTAATTATTTTAATAGCTAATTTTACAAAATACTTTTAATAAATTAATAAGTTTAAACTAACCACTTTTAGCAAATTCTTACCAACAACTTTTAATTACTAGCAAGTTTTTCAAAATTTCACTATCTTTTTAAACTTTTAACTAGTTTATGAATGTCAAATATAACCTACGTGAAAATTATTGGAACATGTTGTAATATATATATATATATATATATATATATATATATATATATATATATATATATATATATATATATATATATATATATATATATATATATATATATATATATTGAATTTAATACTAGTGGTATGTTCGGGATGAAATTTGTATTTATGTTTTTTTTAATTAAAAGTAATTAACTTAACTACTCTAATTGTTCTTAATGAATTATTTTTTTTATAAATACAGGGGTAATAATGTAACTTCATTTTTGTTATACAATCATACATAAGTAATACCAAAATTGTTCTCACACTGGGTAGACCTAATCGAACGAATGAACGAGTTAAGTGTTTACTAAGATGCAACTAAATAAGTAATGTACTTGGTGTATAAACTAAGTCCAAATTAGTTGGTACCTTAAACTAAGTCTCTGAAGCACCTTGATAGTTAGAAGCTGAGATGCCATGCCAGCATCAAGATTGACAAAAACAAACCTAGGGCCATGAAGGCTCTCAGCCACAATGAATGTTCTAGCTCTTAGCCGGAAATGAATACCAGCAGTGTTTTGCTCTAAGTTGGCATAACCCATCATGTTCACATCAGCAGCAGGACCAGTCATGTCATAGCTCCCAACCCCAATTAAGTACTCACCATGTGTGCTTTGCACCCATGACCAAGCACACACCAACAAACCCAATGCAACAGTTACATGATTTTGAACCATTTTACTAGCAATTAATTTCACTGGGTTAATGTTAATTTTCTTATACACATGATTAGTAGGTGAGAATTTCTTGGTTTTGGAGAGCGCTAGCTAAACATTTTTGTTCTTTTTGCCTATACTAAGCTTTTATGTTGGCATTAAGTGTTGCTGCTTATGTAATGACGAGTGGGGAAGTGAGATTCAAGGTATTCTTTGTCTCTTGCCATGGGATTTACGTGAACCACGCCGAATGAGCATGTGTACGCATACTTTGATGTACAAATCTTCACTTCAAGGACATGGGACGATGAATGTTATGGTTTTGTTCCATTTTAGGCCATTCAAATAATGGTTGGTTGTATACTAACGAAAATCATATACAGAAAGGAATGAATCACAGTTTGACTAAATTCATCCACTTGTAAGATTGAGCTTAAATTACCCGGTGTGAACATGGTGATTCCAAGTGCATCACAAGTGCTAAAGAATAAATTATTTTGACTTCACAAACAAAATATTGCCACTTCAACAAAAATTTAACAAATGAAAAAAATGAAAATAAGTTACGCCAAGGCTGAAAATTAATGCCATTTTGCATAGTTTTAAGAAAAATCAACTGACCATCTTTCCCGAATGGTATATATATCCAAAAATTAGTTGTAACATTAGAACTCCATGCAGAGTAAGCTGAACACGACTATGATCTAAACAGGAAGCCCCGAGTTAAAAGAGCACAAAATCAAATCATACAATAATTTGTTCAAGCCACCAACAAGCAATATCATGCTAGCAGCGATAGTAATTTGACAGCTTGAGTGTGAATATCTTCCCCGTCAGCATGGTCAGTTTATGGAAAAGCTTTGAACAATAATTAAACATAACTAGAAACATCAGTATATGGGCAATTTTATTGCTGCTGTGACCCTGAAGTTGATGTTCCAGTTTCAGCTGGGGCAGATGTGGCCGGTCCAGACCCTGGCTGCATAGAATGCTGATAAGGATGATTAGCAGCTGGTGGCTGTGATGGTGGCCCTGCAGCATTGTATGGTGGATACTGATGATAGGGGGGAGCTGGTGGCATATAACCATATGGAGGATAATATTGATGATGATATTGGCCAGGTGGAGGAGGCATCATGGAATGGGGATAATGTTGCATCTGCTGCTTTTCCAAACCAGGCTTGTTCTCCCCTGACCCAGAAGGCCCACCAGGAGGACCATCTTGGGATGGAATACGAGCACCCATTCTTTGAGGATCCATTGATGGATAGTAGCTTCTTTCCTGCTGAGGAGGTGGTGGACTGTTATAGTAAATCATTCCTTGGGTTTGGTCCTGGTTCTGCTGCTGTGATATAACTGCTCGAGGCAATAATCCACTGTGAGCTACAGATGTCTGCTGCCTTGCTTGATCAGAACCATCAAACTCAGGTTTCGATGTCTGAGGCCTGCCCCACATTAGCTTTAGCCTTAGGCCCTTAATAACCAATTTGTTGGAGAGTTCTTCTGCTGCTTTTTCTGCACCTTCTCTGGTTGTATATGTTACAAAGGCACAAGCCCGTTGGAGAACCATTTTGATGGATTCAATTTCTCCATGGGCATAGAAGTGATCCCGCAAATCCTGCTCAGTGACCCTAGCATCAAGTCCACCAACATAAAGTGTTTTAATGCTTTCATCCTCAGGAGCCTCCAGAGTAGTCATCTCTCCTGCCTTGCCAAGTAGCTTCAAAGCCACTGGATCGTTCACTCTGAACATTTAGAAGCATGAATGGAAAATTAACAAACTCAAAAGCACAAAGCAATATTTAAAATGTCATCAAATACACAACTACGAAATAACATCAGTGTCTTTAGTCACAAGTAAATTGTGCACAGGAAACTAAGAATAAGATGAACAATAGGTTAACATGAGATTCAAAAAGAACGATCATATTATACCCATGATGGACAACAATATAGAAACCATAAATAATTTTGATAGCTACTGACTGTCTGCTACATCATTTTTGGCTACAATGGAGAAATACGGGTAACATACAAGAAATAAAGGAATGTTCTTCGCCCATGTCAAAAAATTCTCTTACTACATATTGACAAGTAGCAAAGTGCATACAAAAATGTTCTTAAAAGTGTGAAAAATTACAGACTAAGAACCATGAAGGCAAGATTAGCCGTTCCATTTCACAAAACACAAACAATAAAATACATGCCACATATAGAGGAAAACAAAGAAAGCCAAAATTCCAAGTAAATTGGCAGTTAGTAATTTAGTAGTCAATAAAATTCCCCACTTCAAAGATACTCAAATGTTAATGTCAAATAGTAGTTAACACAGCTCCTACAAGCAGAACTATCAAATGACTTTGCTGGAAAAAGTAACCTGCAAACTTGCTATTCAGCAGGTCATCACACAGAACCACCATAAAAGAACTAAGTGAATGCCTAATAAACCAACAACTACCATAGCAGAAATGGAAAATGATTGAGTGGCTTCCCAGTGCCAAAGAGACAATACAGAGAAATATAATATTGGAATAACAATTGAAAGAGAGATAAAGTAAAGTCAAAAGCAAACAAGGAGTGCTTTATTTAGATACTTGTTTGTCAACACACACATACCCATAATAACGATCCTTAATATTTTGTTGAGACAATTCCCCAGTTACTGGCATCTCATGTCGATAAGGGCACTCAGCTCCTCTGGTACATTCACCCCTTATGTAGAAACTGCAAATATGAGCCCGGTTTCTCTTGTAATATGGTGTTGTCCTTTGAAGCTTCATGATAGTATCATTTGCACGTACTTTACCATAAGAGGATTCGTAATCTATACCAGCTCTGGCCTGCACCATCCTTTTATTATTAGTAAAAAGATCTCAATCAAGTAAAGACCAAACATAAGTCAAAAGAGTACAGATTTTCTTTTCTTTAATAATGAAAACTTGAAATTTTCAACTGTTGTCAAATGGGTGTGTGGAAATCAGATTTCTATGGTTGAGGAGTTTTGCAATAAAAATAAAAACTCCACAATATTACAAAAACCATGTAAGTCACAAAAATCACAATTCACTCACAACTACATACACATTTACCCAAAACTCACTACTCCAATGATTCACTTTCTTTTAAGAAAAAAGTGACAGGGACCAGATAAGGTCCGTAATTTCAGTTGGAATGCACAACCGGAATTGAAATAAACCAAAGCATTGTATTATACAATGTTAGAGTTGAACATATACACTAGGTTTCTGCATCATCCAGAAGAACCGTCCAGATTATGAGCAAGTTCAAGGATTAACCTAAGCTATCAGACGGAAGATTAAAAAAACTAGGGGCAAACATCTAGCATCTTGAATTAATTATAATGTCAAAACACTATTTTCCAATCAATAATTCGATTCAACTATCAGCAACCATGAATATAACTTAACTTAAGGAAAACATACCCTCCGGTCGTGCTCTTCAGCAAAATACTCCCTATTAACATCACTCTTTGGAATGGCATCATTGGAATCAATACTGAGAGCTGTGTCCCGAACTTGAACTGGTAGTCCATATTCAAGATCCAGAAGGCACACTTGACAGACATTTTTCAATTTACTACACGTCTGGCAGATCTCTGTTTTCTTATATCTTGCATCTCGACCAGGTCTCCATCGAAAAACAGTGAATGGCCGTGTACAAATCTTGCACTCCTTGTCATACTCTGCTCTGGTCTGCACCCAGAGAGATAAACATAACAAAAAGCAATTAAACATACAATTGGACCCCCACAATCTAATATTTAATAAAACATGCTGAAATTTGAAAACTATCAATTATGCACATACATGGACACTCTCAACACCATGGTTTTTCATAGTACACCAGGAAATCACCAATTTTATATAATCGTAGTTTCAAACTACTCCATGATTTACAAACATAATGTAACCAATATGAACAAATTTAACATAATTACGTTGCTTTAAATTATCAAACAATGAATGGACAGCCAGAAAACATACTCGTTATTCAGTAATTCTTCTGAATCTGAAAGCAAATAAGGAAACATAATATGGCTCTTCCATGCAAAAAGCCCTGGAAGAATTAATCTACAACACTTCAGGATATCAAGTTCAGAGTTGAAAACAAAAACCATTGCCTTGGCTCACTAACAACAAAGGTTTAACTTAACACCTGCATCTAGATATCCCCCATTCTCACAATAACAATACTTCAAGGCGCAACCTAACCGAGAACTACTCCACAGATTTACTACTTAATTCTTAATTACTGATCACATGACGAAGTTGCATATACCAAATCAAACTCAGATGTTCCTTCAACCTTTCAATTCCCCAACAAACATACAACAATCAAAATTATCACACATAGGACAAGTGATTCATACACATAACCATGCAATTAATAACCATAAAATAATCAATAACCCGTTCAATCTCCGAAAACAGAACAGAACCATCGAATAATTATAAAACCTAAGGAGATAAGATGATAAGAAGCGAACCATTCGAATGTAGGGGCTGTCTCCAAGGCAGGATTCGCAGATAATAGGAAAATCAGAGCGCTCCCAACCGTCGGCTTCATGGTCTCTGAGCAATCTGTGCGCCATGGTTAGGTTAGGGTTTCACAATAACCCCTTCCCCGTTGCGTTGCGTTGCGCCAAAATCCAATAGGAAGAAGAAACCAGAAACGAAGCAGAGATTGTGGTTTAGACCACACTTCAAAATCAAATCCAAATCCAAATCCAAATAAAAACGGGTATGGGTTTGGGTGCTATCCACTTCACCGCAGAGCGCACACACGCAACTAAAGGAGATACGTATAGGGTCGGATCGGACATGGGTATTTTGCAATCACTACACGTTTTGAATTTTGGTTTTTGTGTTATATTTAAATGCATATTTAATTAATGTTGGTTTTTGTTATATTTATTACTCATTCAGATGTCTTTGTATTAGAGTTTTTTAAGAAATAAGAATATTAATTATGTTTATTTTATTAGTTTAATTTTTTTTAATTAAGAGAGAATTTTGTCTCTAAATATATTAGAATCTAATAAATAATATAAATTATATGTAAAATATAAATATGATAATCTTTATATATGAATTTTTAAACTCAATCTAAGTCTCGTTCTATTAAATTTTATTCTTTCTTTTTTTTTAAATATTTTTCCTAAAAATTGATATCTTCATAAAATACTTTTGTATTCTTGAGAATGCTTAGATATCATAAACATACAATTCTCTCTTATACTCTTATAATATCTTTAAACAAATATATACTTTTATATTTATGACTAAACTTATTTTTAGTAAGAGACTTAATATAAAAAAAATGTATCTAATCTTTTAAAATAGATCAATGTTAATATTGAGATATGCAAATATTACATTATGAATTGACAAAATTAAGGATACACTTATTTTTGTTATAAAGCAACTAAATTAATTATGCATCTCCAAGAAAGACGAGGATTATCTATCTCAGTTAGAGTCTCACTATTAGACTCTAACTATTTGTATTATGAACAAATATTGTTTGGTATGATGTTAAACACTTTTCATATAAGGAATGTTGTTTTGACGATCTTTCCTAACTTTAGTGTTAGTGTGAGAGATCTAACTATATCACAAATATTGAAGTCAAAATTAAAATTATTGGATGTAAACAAGTATCTAATATTTTATCACAATTCTTCACCACCAAATAACTTACCATTTATAAGACCATGCTATCAATTTTGCCTTACCATCATGCAAAGGTAATGCCTTATTTTGTTCTTTCTAACAATCAAGACGAAATACCTTTTATTGTCTAAATGCCCAGAAACATCTCCCAACAATAATTACAAAAGCTAATTCCCATGTAATAGGTTACCAATTATGAGAAGTTATACATAAGCCAAAAAAACTATTTAATTTATTAAAGCCACTTTCAAAAGATTTGCAAATGGTTCCGTTAAAACTATCTTCAAAAATCTTGAAAAAATTCCTAGTGCAAGTACCTTGATATCCATGATGATTTTACATGTTACCAAAGAAGGAAAGATTTACATTGTCAATATTTATCTTGATAGAAAACCAATCTTCACTAATAAGTTAACGAATATTTCATATGGAATACAACTCCTAAAATGTGTGATCCTCATTGCAACTACTGGAAACATATTGGAGATTTCAATGATGAAGAAGAAATGAAGAAGCTGAAAATGACCAAGGTGGATCTTGCAAACCACGGTACTCTTCCTATAGAAGATTTGAACCCAGAAAAGGTCCATGGATTGGACTCCATCCTCTAGAGAAGCATTGTGTTTTGGGCCTTGACATTTTCTATTTGCCAATTTAATACTTCTTACACTTGACTCAATGATTTTATCCTCCCATTAGGAAAGATCGTCAAAACAACACTCTCTTCATGAAAAGTAGTTAACATTGTACCAATCACTGCATGTTCATAGTATAGATAGTTGGAGTCTAATAGTGAGACTCTAGCTGAAACAGGTAATTCTCATCTTCATGGAGAGATAGAACTAGTCTAATTGCTCCATAACCTAATTCAACCCTTCCTAATAAGGTTCGAGCTAACTTCCCAAACTAAGCCTAATTCACCTCAATCTAACTTATCCCAACTTTACTCATCTTAGTCTAACATGATTTATCTCGAATTAACACCTCCTAATCCAACATATCTTGTCTTGACTTACGCCAACCTATCTAATATTTGTATATCCTATTCACTTGTGACCCGAATTGCCCCATCTAAACCCAACTTGACTCCACATGGTTTGATTCGTTCTTACCCAACCTAACTTATCCCAATAAAACCCAACATGAATAAACTCATTCTAACCTGACTTGACCCAACTTTCCTAAGCAAGTACAATTTCTCTTTATTAGGCTCAACCTTACCAATTTGGTTTGTCCTGATCTCACCAGACTCGATGTTGTTTATCATGGTCCATTTTGGTCTAACCTTACCTATGTGGATAAGATTCAAGTACTGTGAGTTGGACTTAATTCACAATATAGTAATGAATTTTTATATTTGATAAATTGAAATACTTTGTCCAAATAAGAAAATTACATTTCAGTAAACTTGAATTGCCTTATTAAAACAAATCATTCAAAAAAATTAAATCATTTTAAATGAAAGGAATTCAAATTTATTGTATTTTAATTTCCCAGAAATTACAAAGTACCTTATCTAAATGCAACATTAATTTTATTGTATGTCATTATTTGGAATTCTTTGAGCTTATCACATCTAAATCTTTCATTTGAAAATATATCTCTCTTCAAGGTAACATATTAGGTGTTGATAGGAGAATAGTGAAGATTATTCTTTGGTGATTTTAAGAGGAAAGAAGAAATCCAAAAGAGAGAAAACATTTATGAGAAAAAGAAATTTGAAGGTTGGACAAAGTTAGATACAAAATCCAAAGAGAAGAAAAATTATGGTGTAGAATTTTCGTCACAGAAAGCATAATTTGTAGCAAAAATTCTTTGGCTAACTTTCTCTATCATTCTTTTCACGAAAATTTTCTTGTATTTTCTAGTTTTTGTGTACTTTTGTTTATTTTAAGTGTGTTTTGGAAAATTTTCTTTGGTACTATATCATCTCTCAACATGAATTTTGTAGTAGTTAGATATGAACTTGTAGAAGTATCCCAAGAAGCTCTTATGTATCACTTGAAGTTTCATATTAGGATACATTTAGTTTATATTTTGTTTGATTTAAAAGTTTTTCCTTTAGTAGTTCATTTTTCCATGATAAAAATTAAGGCTCATCTCAAAATGTTCTAGAAAGACTTTCCTTTGATCCATAGGGTTCATACACACACTTAAAAACTTTTATCGCCCCATTTTTGTAAAAACGTTTCAAATTTTGTGAAAATTTATTTTTGATAAAAAATGAGTGATCATCATATTCTAGACATTTTAGTGTGTATGGGAGTTATAGTGACCATAGTGAAAAACCCTCCTTAAGATATTATGAGCTTAGATATTTAAAAGAAATTAAAAAAAAAATAGAGATAAGGAAATAAAAGGGTTCACATGGAAGAATAAAATACCATAAGGAACCCACTCTCAAAATAGAGGGATGTACAATAATGATAATTATTATCAACCATCCCCTAGGCACCATCATAGGCTTAGACAAAATAACTATCCCTGAGAAATTAAAGTACACCTTCCTCCTTTCCATGATAAAGATAATGTTGAAAAATATTTACATTGGGAGTTGAAGGTAGAGCAACAACTAAAAAGAATATGTATTTATAGGAAGGACTACCCTAATACTTTTGCCCCTAAGAAGGATTACAAAAGGGAGGGATACCCTTCAAAATCTAGGCATGAAGGGCCATATTGTAAGAATTAATGGTTGAGTTCAAGAGGGAGGGGGGGTGAATTGAACTTTAGAAATCTTTTTCGAAAAACACTCTTTCTTTGTGAAAGAATGATTAATCTTTATCCAATATTTTATTAGGCAGATTTGGTTTTAAACAAAGCAAGAATATAAATCAGAAATGAAAAGAGATAAAAGCAAAAATACAACACAAGAGTTTATACTGGTTCACTCTTTCCAAGAGCTACATCCAGTTCTTGACAAATCTGTCAAGTTTCACTAATACCAAGTGAAAATACAAACCAGTAGATATACACCAATCTACCCCAAGAACTACCTTACAACACCATAAGATAGACTCTTGAAAAACCACCCAGCAACCAAACCCAGTTACTGTAACCAATGCAGATTCAAACCCAATCTACACAATTAGAATTCGTACAAGTATATGAAAAGAATAAACCTGGACTGCAACTTTTACAATATAGAAGTCCAGAAGCAATTTTTGTAACTCAGAACTTTCTTTCTTGAAGATCTTTCAACAATCTTGATCAAAACGTCTTATGATATGAAATGTGTATGAATGCTCAGAGAAAGACACGAATATGAGAGCTCCAAGATTGCTTTCAATCGATTTCCAAATTTTGTATTTGAAAGAGAAATCAAAACTGTATTTATAGAGTAAAGGAGAGAAACTGACAGTTTCAATCGATTTAAAATGATGTCTTAATCGATTGATTTTATTTAAAACTCTTTCAATCAGTTAATTCGAGCTTTTAATGGATTGAAACAGTTAGAAGAAAAATGCTATCTCTCTGTTTCAACAGATTAAAATTCATTTCAACAGATTAAAAATCTGAGATACTTAAAAATGAAAAATAATATCTCTCTGTTTTAACAGATTAAAATTGATTTCAACAGATTAAAAATCTGAGATACTTTAAGATGAAAAATGACATCTCTCTGTTTCAACAGATTGAACTTGATTTCAACAGATTAAAAATTTGAGATACGCTTGAAATGAAAAATGGCTTAGAACATTTTAATTTATTGATTTATCAATTCAACAGATTAATACAACGAAACCCTTAATATGAAAAAACCATCAAGAACATTTTAACCTGTTGATTCTAGGATTCCATCAATTAAAATATTGGCTATATATATACATTTCCTATTTTAAGTGATTTTAATAGATTAAAACTGCTTTTTAATAGATTAAAAAACTCAGTTTGTTCTTTCAAGACTTAAAGATTGGTT